TAGTATATAAAATTTATATTTATATATTTATGTGGGGTGTGAAAGTGTGAGAGCGTGAGAGTTTGAGAGGTATGAATAGGCTAAAGAGTACCGTGTGCAATCGGACAAAGGATGACGATGAACAAATGCGAAATGAACTTTTGAATATCGCCGAAAGAAGCAAATAAAAGTAAAGCGAGCGAGAATCAGTCAGTGATCCCGTTCGTATGATATCATACGCGTCACATAATTTAAAGCCTTGTACGATCCAAAATCCAACTTGTACGATAATTTACGATTAATCGATATTTAAATATAATTTTCGATATGTCTTGATTTTGTTTTAGTTACGCGATTCGGTTGCAGCGCACCCTTGCGCACTTAGTTATTTATGTTTCGAAAAGTTAGAAAAAGCGATATTTCTATTTTTTGATTAGCTACAGTCATTTCTTAGCCACATAGATAGTCATACAATAAGATAGTCAGGAAAAAAGGACAAAAGGACGAAAAAAACGAACCAAAGACCTAAAAAAAATAAAAAAAATTTTTTTACTTTTTTTGCACTATTAAAATCCTAAAATCTCCAAATCTCTTAAAATCAATCCTAAAATCTGGAATTTCTGAAAATCGGATCTGATTTTTCTGTACGTACGATAATTTGACGGTACTGTGTTGATCAGACAGACAAAAGTTTCTGAGATCACTGGAATCAGTCATCATTTCATCGTTTAATAGCCGACCAAAGAAGACGGTTTATTATACCATCACTTTGTATTTTTATTTTTTTATATTGAATATATTGCATAGCCTTGAGGAGAGGTTTTCTTTTCTATATCGACCAATTAACAACACCACGGAATTCTTTCCTTTTTTGCTTGTTAGATATCCTTTAGGAAGACTAACAGGAGAAGGGGAATCCCACATTTATATACATTTTTATTATTAAATTAATTATTAAATTTATATTTAATTATTTTAATATAATATTTAAATAATTATATTTTATTATATATATATATTATTATATTTTATTATTTAAATGTAAACATAAATAATTCATTATTTTTGTGTGCCAGTACTGATTATTAATAAACGAAAAAATGTGTAAGCCGCGAATGTGTTAATATTCACGTAATTTTGAAACAATCGTTGTAATTTATGATTATTTAACATAAACGCAAACGAGGAAGACTATTTCTCTTTTTCTCTTAGTTGGTACGATTACGTGGACAACGATTCAAAAGCGGAAGAGAAAATCTAACGATGGTTGTGTTAAATCATCAATAAAATATAATAATTCAACTCCTTTAACATTAGTTACTGAACGTTATGTCATCATTTCAAGTCAAATTAAATTCATATTAATAGATGATGAATACTTTTTAAAAGTAGATCTCGATAAAGGAAACAAAAAAGAAACAAAAAGTAAAAAGATAAAAAAGAAATGAAACGTATAAAGATTAATCAGAATTGAATAAAGATTAAACAAAATATTGGATTGTTTGGAAAATTCGTGCCGATTTTGACGGAAGATTGAAACGCAACGTATTTAACACGTTCCGTGCCACGTGTACCACCGGTGGTACACGTTAAACTTGTTCTTCAGGCCACGTGTACCATCGATAGTAAATTTATCATTTGACATATTTATTTAATACACTGAAAATATATGTTTATAACAAATTTCAAATATTCCTGTTAAAATATTGATGCATTATACAAAACGCAGCATAGAACAAAGCACATTATTATATTTACAATAATTAATAATTACATGTAATGGTTGGATTTTGTTAAAGCAAAATGAAATGGCCTGAATGACAATTCAGGTAAAAAGGGTTTGGCACGGAACGTGTTAAGTTTTTTTTTTTTTTGGTATATACATATTTATTAAATAAATAAGTGTCACATTCTGTTCCACAATCTTTCGCCATCTTTATGGATAACCTCAAAATTTCATCCTTCCAGAACTTCTCAGGTTTTTTTTAGCAAAATAACTTTATGCAACCTACTGAAAATAGGCACGAACTTTCCGAACAACCCAATATATTCAATATTAACAAATTAATAACAAGGCAAGAGAGAAAAAAAAACAAAATTAACGGAGCGTAACGTTTTTATCCTGTTATTATTATTATTATTACATTTGGTGTGTCGAAAATAAGAAACACAGTTTTCCATGTGGTGGGTTTCTATATATTCGTGAATCAATACCGATATTTATCCACGTACAATGGCAAACAGCATTTTACTTTCGCTTTGTGTTTCGCTAGCACGATCGGACGATAGGTTTTTCTAACAAATAAATCGAGAAAAGTTCGCGAAAGACGAAATACGAGGTGTTGTTGTTCGAGGTGTTGTTCAAAGTGTGTTCATCGTCATTTCTATGGGATTAAACGAATGAGTTTTCTATCAAGGTCTTCGTTCACACTAAATTAACTACGTGTCCCCTGTAATTTGTATAGAAAAATTTGAAAAATTTGTTACCTCATGGTAAGAGTTTGGGTTGTCCTGAAAGTTCGTGCCGATTTTGACGGAAGATTGAAATGCAATTAAGTGTTATTTTTTTTTAGTATATATTATTATATTATTTATTAATTAAAATTTATAAATAATAATATAATTATATATTATAATATAACTGTAATATATACCTAATAATAATATATTATAATAATAATTATAATATATAATATAATTTATAATATAATAATATAATAATTTAAAAATTAATAAATTTAAAAATAATATATATGTATGTGTGTAATATATATTAATAATATATAATAACTTTAAAATTTCGTGCTTCCAGAACTTTTCAGGTTTTTCATAAAAAAATACTTGATGCCACCTATCGACAATCGGCACGAACTATCCGAACAACCCAATACATGGTGTATTTAAAAAATTTTAGTGTTTATTCGTAGAAAATTCGTTTGTTAAACAAGAATGATTTTTATTGGAACAGATAATATATTTTGTTTGTATTTTTCTTTCAGAAATGGCATCTGCAGCAGCAGAATTAGTGGCAGAAAGGGAACCAGAATTAATGCGAGAGATGGTTGATGGAAACCGAACTCTCGTAGGTGCCCAAGGATTGGTAAAATTAGCAATTGAACAGTATATGGAGATATTAGCAAGTGCATCGGATCCACGTGTTGGCAATTGGCCTCTTATGGAATCCCCAATACCTACGATCCTAATAGTATTATTATATCTGTATTTTGTAACAATAGCAGGTCGTCGTATTATGTCCAACAAAAAACCATATAATCTGAGAAATGTTCTCATTGCTTACAATGCTTTTCAAGTAATATTCTCTCTGGGAATGCTTTACGAGGTAATATAATAATTATTATCAATTATTACAAATGACAATTAGAAAAATATTAAATAAATCTGTCTATTTCTTTTTCTTCTTTCGCAATTCAATCCTCTTTGAGTGTTAAGAATTAAATTATGATAGTAATTAAAGCTTTCATTTTTACGATGACACGAATACGTTAGTATTAAAACGAGCTGTATGTCCTATATAAAACACAGGGACAAGAAAAAAAAAAACGAAAGAACCGTTCGACACATTCCACGAAATCGAAACATATTTAGTTTGAACGTTTTTACACGACTTATTATTGGTTTAAAGACATCATCTATCTATGTTTATGACAAAACTCGTGGTCGTAAAGTTTAAACAAAAAAAAAAAACACAGTTATTACACATTAGAAATATTCCGGTTGAATGCGATTGTTCTAGATTGATTTATCCTACTAGCCCGTTGAAAGTCGTGCCATGCCTATAATCACAGTTATTTTCGAAATATAAAGATATTTCGAAAAATCTAGACTTGTCTCATTGTATAAAAAGAAAATGATGATAAAATATTAATTGAAAAAAAAAATATTAAAAGCATATATGTGCCAAGCAATCACAGTTGCTGTTACTTGTCTGTAATGCACTTAACGCGTAAATCGTTTTTAACGTAGAGATAATCGAGAATAGAGAACTTGTATTCGAAAGTCAGATTAACGTAATCGTTGCAGTGACAAGCATCTATTACGTATCCGATTAGGCTAAAGGCAAGATTAGATCATCGAGGAATGAGGAAAAGAGAAAAATATATAGTCAATGCGAAATGTCTGTTAAAAGAAAAATGATTGCTTTCTAAAAGAAAGAAAAAAAAGACAGAAAAAATAGGTTTATTTCTAATCTAATCCATATTTGTTCAAAGCACTTGATGTCCGGATGGTTACTTGACTATAGTTACAAGTGTCAACCAGTCGATTATTCCCACAATCCATCTGCTATAAGAATGGCTAATCTTTGTTGGTGGTATTTTGTCAGCAAATTTACCGAATTCGCAGACACGGTAAGTTTATTATTACAGTAGAAACTGCTGTTAAAAATATGCACGTACAATATTACAATTATATTATTATATTAACACTAGAAAGACCGAAACTTTGTATATACTTATATTGCCCAAAACAGTCAAAATGACGAGTGTTTGAACAGTAACATTTTATTTAAATTAAAAAATTGATGTATTTTAAACTTTTGTTGCACTAGTGAATTCTATAAAAAATTAAAATTTGATTTGAAACTGAGTTACACTCAGTGATTAGGCAATTTTAATTTTTTAGAACAGTATCTTCAACGAGTGTCTGAACAGCAACATTTTATTCAAATTAAAAAATTGATTGAAAGAATAACTAATGTGTAAAGAAATTTATTTAAAAAATTTATTTTTAATATTTTTTTTATATTATTTACAGTTATGAAACGGGTTAATTAATAAATATTAACAATAACAAAAATTTATATCACTTGGAAAAAAAATAATTTATGCATTATTATCTGTACATTTTATGCAAATAAAAGTGGAAATCTTTTTATGTGTACATCTTTCGCAAACATACTTTTGACATTTTTCACAAATATTATTTGTTTTGTTGTTGTTATGGCAAAGTTGTACTTGACAAATTTTGAGTTTGTTAGAATGGGTTGCATTTGATGATTTTGCAGCTCTGTATTCGGTGGAAAGCTGTTCTGTTAATTAAAACAAGAACACTTTTCGTTGTATTTGTATTCCTGTCGTTTCTTTGTAAAGAATCTAAACATTTATAGCAGCCAAATCTAAAATATTGAAAAATATTTGGAGAGGCCATCTACGAGAACTAGCTTTTACTGTATATTTTCTGGYCATTTRATYCRCCATATCAACTCCAAATTTTGTGCTGTTATAAAATTGAATAGATTTCGGTAACATTTTTTTATTACTTTTATCAATTTTCATAAATTTATGCTTAGAACTTAGAACAACTACTCTTTTATTTGGTTTGCTTTTATATATTGTAAGAACACAATTCTCTGATTTACATAGCAGAGTAAAAAAACGAGGCATGTTATCCTTCGTTTGTTTGGCTGCTTTTAGCAGTTCTCTTTTGTTTCCTCTAATAGTTCCAATTAGAGTTGTTTTTTTTTTTCCAATAATTTTGTTTTGGCTAATTTTGACATGCTAGTAAAAAAGTTATCGGTTGTAATATTTCTTTCATAGCTTGTATATGACTTGACAAGTTTCAGAACAACGTGTTCATTTAGAAACATTGACGATGGTCGTTGTTCATCTTTCCCTAAATAAGGAAAACCATTCAAAACATATTTGTTACTGACATCTGATGTAAGCCAGAATTTAATGGCAAATTTGTTGGGTTTATTAGACATATACTGTGTAAATCTGCACCTGGCTTTTGAAGGAAATAATTGTTCGTCAAATCTTATTTTTTACCCTGGTTGATAGCAAGTTTGACTGTTTTCAATGAACTTATCCCATATTTCCGAAACCAAGGCAAATTTATTTTTTTGTAGGCGCCTACTTCTTTTAGTTCTTTTGTCAAAATGAATAAACCTTAGGATTTGCTTGAACTTTTCTCTGGTCATAGTTTTTCTCAAAAATTCGGGACTCCACTTTGCTGACCATAAATAACTCAATTTAATAATAAGAGTCACTTGATTATTTTCAATTTCCAAAGCAGTCAAAACGACTGCTATTGGGCAATATAAGTATAACACATATATATATATATATACCGGAAATGAAGGAGGGAGGGAGATGACTAAAATTATTAATAAACGCATTTATATGTTGAATAAAAAGTCAACACACAATTCTAAAAAATTGTATCATTATATATATCATTTTTTTTCTAATTGAAACTATTGGGTTGGCAAGAAAGTAATTTCGTTTTTCTAGTGTGAAATAAAACTCAATTGTTTCTAAATGAAATTGCACGGAATTTGTTTTTATAGCAACCTAAAAGTGTCAACTACCAAACTTTAAAAGAAACAAATATAACATTAACAAAAAAATAACGAAACAAACATAACGCTATCTATTAGTGCAAGCCGAAATTACTTTTTTGCCAATCCAATAAAAAGCAGTCAAAATGACTTCCTTGGGCAATCTAGTGTTAACTATTAATAATTTTCAAAAGAAATATACCGAAAGAAATAAGAATAAAATTAGATTAAATATGTTTCAACTTGAAATTGAATTTTTACAGATTTTCTTCGTATTACGAAAGAAAGAGAGTCAAGTTACTTTTCTACATTTGTACCATCATTCATTGACACCATTGGAAACTTGGATTTGCGTTAAATTTATCCCAGGTGGACACGGTACTTTAGGAAATCTAATAAACAATGCGGTACATGTGGTCATGTACGCTTATTACATGTTAGCTGCCATGGGACCCGAATATAAAAAATATTTATGGTGGAAAAAACATCTCACGACTATCCAATTGGTAAGTTGGTTTAGGTAGTGATAAATAATCATGAAAATTATTCAATTTACCATTCCTATAAACAATATTACTACTAACTAATAGATAGATGGAACCCATGGAAGAAAAAACACTAATCATCACCCTTCCTATTAAATCATTTCAATCGTATACTCGTATATTTCGCATTAAATTTTTCCTTTGAATGATCTTTCGTTATTATCCTTTTTATGGGAAACGTTCTAGGGTAGGGGGGAAAAAAAAAAGAAATAGGAAAACTCACCGTTAGCTCAATGACAATGAGAATAATATTATATCGGGTGATACTAATCGATGATATTTCCTCTTCATTTTCAGGTACAATTCTTTTTAGTTTTCGTTCATAGCGCACAAGCCTTGATCTTCGATTGCGGTTATCCGAAGTTGGTAGCAATCCTTTTATTGCTTCACTCGACGATCTTCTTTATTCTTTTCTCCGATTTTTATCGACGTGCCTATCGTAAAAGGAAATTCATCGATATAAAGAAAGTGGATTAAAGAAGGAATAGGAACAAAAATAAACAGAAGGAAAAGAAGAAGAAGAAGAAGACAGAAGACAGAAGACAGAAGACAGAAGACAGAACTAAAGAGTAAAAGGACCAAAACAAAACAAACAAAAATGAACGCTTCTTATTTTTTGGAAGCTTCAGAAGAAAAAAGACGCATCTCGTGTCCTATTTTTTTCTTTCTTTCTTTTTCTCTCTTATTTTTTAATAAATCCCCCTGCAATCCATCCTATTGTCCTAAGGATGAAGAAAAAGAAAGAAAGAAAAAAACAATGGAAGAAAAAGAAACGCAGGACGTTTTAGTAGCGCGCCCAATACGAGTCAATTTAGTTTGAATTTTGTCAAAGTGGCATAAAACGAACAACTACCAACGGATCTTGCCTTATATATATATCCTTTTTTTTCAAAGGATTTGAAAGGACGAATAAGAAACTTGGCACAAATTATCGAATTTAGGAAATATTAGGGTGGAATCAAATAAGTTTTTTGTACGTTTATCGTGTTGTTTTCTTTTTATACAGTTATTTTTTTCTTTTTTTCTTTTGTAAAAATTTACTTTGATAAATATTAATTAATTAATAAAAAAAAAAACGCGCCGATAACATTTGGTTCACCCTAATATTACGTTAGATACAAGAGAAAGCAAGGAAATATCCGTGTATTTCAATAATCCTCCTTTTCCCACGAGTCCTTGATTATTTAAAGATTTATTTTTGTTGATATTGTAGCACCGAGGAAAGGTCACCGAATAAAGGTCACCGAAGAAAAAAAAAATTGTGAAAACAAGTAGCAGAGAAACAAGATTTTATAGATATTTCTAAATTCTTGTCGTCATCACTGTTTGTTTGAACTGTTTTTTTTTTCTTAAGCAACTCGTTGCTCGTGGAAAAGTATTTTTACGTCTCTATCCGTTTACTTATTTATTTATTTATTTTTTTTTGTATTTCTATTCTTTTTATAACTCACGTTTTATCACCAGTAAAAGTAACATTTTCTACTATCAATCGTAAAATTTGTCGATAATCAGTCAATTACCCCTCTCTACTCGATAATTATTCTCTCCCAAAGTGCCACTAGCGATTTTTTCGCGAATTTGACTCGATGTTTGTAAAATAGATGAATATTTTTATATATACATATATGTATATGTGTGTGCATCGATAATTATGAAAATGATGAAGAAAATTTATTTTACGATTTATTTCATACATTCAAATTACTTTATATTAGATAATAAAACACAACATATAAAATGTTAGATACATTTTTACTACACGAAACCCAATTTCAAAATTATCGACACGTACATATATATATACATACTCGCGTATATAAAGGAGACTTTAATTTATTTTTTTAATTTATCTAATATATATTGAAGGATATAGAAAAGGATTACGTTCGCGATTCCTCGTTTCTTTCCCTCTTAGATAAGATTTAAATATTAATGAAAATGAAAATAAAAAAATAGTCATATTTTGTTTGGCTAATATCAATTTACTCTCCAAATTTTAAACCCATTTTTTTCTTAACAGGCTCTATGCATATATCGAATTTAAATGTGAATTATCGCAGGAGCGTTCTCCAAGTACGTATATTTATTTATCTTTACATATATGTTACCGTTATAAATTTATGGAACATCTAAGCCTAACGCGAAATAATTAGGTAAAATATAAATGAACGAAAGGTGAGTAGTCAAAGTATATGATTGAAATTTGATCGATCTTTAAAATCTGCTTTGCTAGAACTCAGCTAGAACAAGCTAGAATAATGCTGATAGTGATCTGTTTCTTATTTCTTCCTATACTTTAAAAAGTAATATTAGGTTGAGGAAAAAGTTATCCATTATTTTTACGTTAACTTCAAGCCTTTACTTAACATACTTCTGATTGTCTGATTTTGGTCAAATATGCACCGTTTTGTTCGTTAATTTATTACCGTTTTAAAGGTAGCTTCACAATGCCTGTCTCATAAAAGTCTTGATCCCTATTTGCGAAAAACTCTAGTGATCGATCTTTACAATCTTCTTTTAATGTCAATTTCTTATCAATAAGAAAGTTTTGCAGTGCAACAAAAAGATAGTAATCGCTTGGTGTAAGGTCCGGTCTATATAATGGATGCATCAAAATTTCCCAAATAACCTCCTAGAGCTTCTGGGGAGTCATTATAGACATGTGTGACCTGACGTTGTTCTGATGGAACACAACACCTCTCCTGTTGGTCAATTCTGGCCGTTTCTGGTCAATCGCTTGCTTTAAACGGTTCAGTGGTTGAATGTAGAGATCCGAATTTAATGTTTGGCCATATTTAAGCAACTCATAATAAATAATTCCTTTCCAGTCCCACCAAATGCACAGTAGAACCTTCCTGGCTGTTAGTCCTGGTTTGGTCACCGTTTGAGCTGCTTCACCGCGCTTTGACCACAAATATTGTCATATGTGATCAATTTCTCATCCCCAGTCACCATCCATTTAAGAAATGAGTTGATTTCATTCCGTTTGGCCAAGTCTTCGCAGATGGAAATTCGATGCATCATGTTTTTTGGTGTTATTTGGTGTGGCACCCAAACATCGAGCTTCTTTTTGAATCCAGCTTTGCGCAAATGATTTAAAACTGTTGTATGGTCGATCTTTAGCTCCTGAGCGATGCTACGACTACTAATATGCCGGTCAACTTTGATTATGTCTGTGATTTTATCGACATTTTTGACGACAGACCAACCTGCGCGAGGTGCATCTTTAGCATCAAAAATACCTGAACGGAATCGACGAAACCAAAATTGCATGAAATTATCTGTTACAGTATTGAGAGCATGAACACCATTCACAATTTCAGCCGCCTAGCTTGAATTTTCGTCTTTAGAAAAGAAAAAGTGTGAAATGTACCGAATTTTCTCTTTGTTGACTTCCATTTTGTACACCCTGTAAGTCAAAACTGGATAGACCAAACAAAAAACGTTAAAGGAATTTTTGTTAGCTCTAAATGTCACCTTTCTAACAAGCATAAATTTGAAATTGTTCGATTGATATTTTGCGAGATATCGATAACTAAAGTCATCTAACGAAAAAATAATGGATTACTTTGTCCCCAACCTAATATAAATTAACGAAAGTTTAGTAGTCAAAGTATATGATTGAAATTTGATTGATCTTTAAAATCTACTTTGCTAGAACTCAGCTTAAACAATGCTGATAGTTATCTATTTCTTATTTCTTCCTATACTTTAAAAAGTAATATTTTTTTATTCGTACTATTCTGTCGGATTAAATTCCAATTGAATGTTTTAACTACTCACCTTTCGTTAATTATTATATTATCTAATTATTAATATGCAATTCTACTTTATTTTGTAGTTTAACAGATCAGTATAATTATTTCATAGTTTAGCTGATAATTTGATGAATTAACGAATACACGTTTCAACGGTAACACATATGTAATACACATAGAGAAAAGTAGATGAAGCAAGATTTTTAAATTAAAGTTTCAACAAAAAAAAATATTCAATATATCACTGTTTTCGAAATACGTGTAACTAATAAATAAGGCACTTTCACGAAATAGAAATTTGGATGATGTTGCATCGACCATCCATGCCTATACACCTGATTATTTGAAAAAATATTGAGACTTTTTTTTTAAAGAAAAAAGAATCGATAAATAATGCGAATAAACGAACTAACCGCGTATATCACTTTTTTCGGCACATTCCTCGAACAGGATCCGACTATATACGTTCGAGTTCTGGCGAATGGTTGCTTGAAAATTTTCTTTTTAAATCGAATAGAGATAGAACATACGACTAGAAGACGGTTACGCGACGGCGCAACCCTGCTTCTGTTATGCGGGTCGATAAATTCTCGTTTTTTTTTTCAATGTGTGCGCGTGTGTAGAAGAAAAGCAGATTAAACCAAAGCAAAATTGTCCAAAGTTAAATGACCGAGCCAAATTTTTGCATCTGCTAGTTTCATATAATCAATTTATTTGATTTCTTTTAGTCTTTTTTTTTCCCCTTACTAAAGTGCAATAATAAAGACGTAACAATGCATACAAAGCCTATAAAGCCTAAAAAAAAACAGTTTTGTTTTTGTTTTTCGATGTTATAGGAATTTTTGTATATTCAAATAGATAATTTTGAATAATAACAAACACGAGCTTTGCTTTTACTTCAATTAATAATCTCGAGAGATCACGAAACTAGAACTACGATTTAAATTATGTTCAAACAATAAGAATATTACTGTATTAATTATTTTAATATTAATAATAATATATTATATATATATATCTTCGTTCTTTTTTTTAATGCCAACTACAATATCACATCTTTCCAATATTCGCTCGTATCCTCTTTATTTTATAACTGCTACGAAATGTCGTCCAGTCAACTGCTGTAATGATAAAACTATGTCGTACGGTATATTACAATTTTCATATTTTATTTACATGATATATATATATATATATATATATATATATATATATATATATATATATATATATCTGTATATTAATAAATGTATACAGGAATAGGAAAAAAATAACCTGTACTTGCAAATTCTAAATTACGAGCAATTATTAATTTTTAAAATTCCTATAGATCTACGAAACAGCTTTTTCAAGCAGCAGCTGCTTGTTGCTTTCTCTTCTGTCTTTCTAAAAGCCTGCGTTCTCTTTCAAACTCCTTCATTCGCATGACATAACTGAAATAATAAAAAAGGTTCGTCCTTTAATCTGTTCAATTTTATGGTTTGATTATTTAAAGTAATATAAGATATTACTAATTTGATATGGTTTCTTCATCAAGTATACTTACTCTTCATATTGGCATTGTTCCCATTCATGCATTTCATGGCTGCATTTTCTTATCATTGGAAAATTATATTTTTTACAGTCTTCCAATTGTAGAAGTTTATGCGCACAATAATCTCTGTATCTTTTTGGTAATTTCGCTGCCCTCATTTCTGTCTCCGTAGCTACCATAACTGAATAAATATATCATATATAATAATAAGTATAAATTAAAAGACAATTTATATAAACAAAGGGTTGAATTATTTTTGTTTAATTAACAATACAATATTTTAAATGAATGCGTTCATTAAGTTACTAACATAAGTCGAAACTATATGAAACACTTGATTATGTCACAAGTGTAATTTTTTCACAAATACAATTGAAGAAAGATGCAACAATAATATATTGAAAAAAATAAACCAAATGTCATTTAAAATAGACATTAAAAATAAACAGATATATTGAACGAGACTGAAGAAAAAAAACATACAATAATTTGGTGTTTCAAAAAGGATTGAAATTAGAATTAATATTGGGCCAAATGTGTTAGGTTAGGTTTTCAATCGTAACAGTTACCTCTCTCTTTTCGACCATTTTCAAATCCGTACAACGAATTAAATGTCGGTGCAGTTTCAGCTTCTGGCATTGTATCGGGATGTGTAACGTATGCACTCCATAAAAGACCCATTTTTATCTAATATCAAAAGTTGAATTTAAAAGGTAGCAAAGAAAAAAATGGCCATATAACGCACTACCAACACACTGTTATTCAGTATTGTTACGAAAAAAACGTCACTTATGATATATCCTTTAATTGAACATTCGTCAAAGCAAATATACCTTTTTGTAAGTATAATATATTTTTAGATTTATTATTTTTATTATTTTATTTAATTTTTATTAATTATTTCAAACTGAAATTAGAATAATAGCGAAAATTGTCTCTCTGTACAGAACGCATGTGCAGAAGCATATTTCAACACAACGTCGTGTTGAATGTTTAAATTTGCTTGGTTCAACATTCAAATTAAATAAGTTTTTTGAAATATATTATATGAAAAATGGTCAAGTTAACTCCGGATTTAATACAACAATCTAAACAATATATTAATCCTGTAAGAGATCGAGAATTAGACTTGAGAGGTTAGTCAAAATAATATCCATATTTATAATTAACAGAATATAACCTATATTCAAACTATATTGATATATCGTTTATTTATTTATTCATTTATTTATATATTTTTTAGGATACAAAATACCAACAATAGAAAATTTAGGAGCTACTTTGGTTAGTATATGTTACAGATATATTTTTATTTTCAAAATTAAATGCTAATATATATTTGTGTGTATTCTGAACTGTTGTTACACGTGTGTAAATAATTGATGTTTATGTCGATATTTATTACAGGATCAATTTGATACAATAGACTTTTCTGATAACGATGTAAGGAAACTAGATGGATTTCCATATTTGAAAAGAATAAAAACACTTTTTTTCAATAATAATCGCATAGTCAGAATTGCAGAAGGTTTAGAACATTGCATACCCAATATAGAAACTTTAATGTTGACTGGTAATATGATTCAAGAGCTTGGGGATTTGGATCCATTAATACCGCTGAAACATCTCACAAATTTATGTTTATTACAAAATCCTGTTTCTGCGAAGCCACAATATAGACAATACGTCGTATTCAGATTTCCACAATTGAGATTATTAGATTTTAGAAAAATAAAACAAAAAGAACGAGAAGCTGCTATCGAATACTTTAGAAGTAAGAAAGGAAAAGAAATGGTACGTGAAATAGCTAAAAAAGCAAAGGCACAAGCACCTGGAACATCTTTGGATAAACCTATAACAAGTGTGGATGAACGTAACAAAATTAAAGAGGCTATAACTAATGCGACATCTTTGGAAGAGGTACAACGACTTAGCAAATTGTTACAAGCAGGACGTATACCTGGAGAAGAAAGACTTCAAAATGGTATTAAACTTTGTGTTCGTTGTAACATGTTAAATAACTCTACGCATGATTATTACAAAATGATATTATTTTTCTTTAATATATTAGGAAACAACACATCTGAAGCCATGGAAGAAGAGGAAGATGATTGAATCAAACAGGTTTATACTTATAAATAACAACAAATTTTGTAATTAACGTTTAATCTGTAAGTATTCACAATTGCTACCAAGGATATTAATGCAAGGATGGCGACCCTTCTTTAAGTTGATAAGAAGCTGTTTACTACACAAAATTAGAGAGAGATATATATATGCATAAAAATTCTTTTTTGGTATCAATTAAAAGATGCAAATATGTTTTATTATGACCTTGAAGCGATTATGTAAAACGATAAAAACCTTTACTTTGAAGTATTAACAATAGTCTAATTTATTTCAGCAGATTCAAAATAAATCATATCATGCGGAATGCGTTTGTTTCTTCAACTTTATTGAATTCCAACATAATTTTTTAAGGTATCAAACTATATCAGCGTATATTTATATATACTGTAAATGAAGTAAGTCAATAACATATTATTATCTTTATGAAAATTATTTATATATATAAATAATACATTTACAGAATACCCTAGTAGTACAATATATTGAATACATGTGTATTTAATATTAAAAAGAGATTCAATGTCTTTTTAATATTAAATACACATGTATTCAATATTTTTCAATATTTTGTGTTACTAGGGTATATTGATTCAGTTCACATTCTCATAATTAATGACATATACGTAATTGTTTAATAAACTGTATTAAATCTGTGATAATTTTTATAAAATAAATTATTTTTTTTAATAAGAGGCATAAATTTTGGATTGATAGATGCTTGAGAGTCATCTAGTGGTAGAAATTGTTACTAGACAGCGCCATCTAATACGAATATGTGGAGAACCAGGCCAGTGGAAAAGGTTATCTGGAAAGTTTATATTAACTTATGGATTTTAAAAACGAGAAAATATCAAATTTATTATTACTATTGATAAGTAAACTTTTGGACGTCATATATAAGACTGATATCTTTTGACAGCTATATTCAACTTCGAACTTAATTGGTGTGGTTCCCGTATAGGGAGAAAAGGCGCTAGTGTCGGTACACTAGGCGCGTATCGCTACAAATCTCCATGATCAGAATTATCTAATTCAAAAGCCCATGCACGATGCTCCTTTCTTTTACTTTTTTCTTTTTTTTTGTCCCCCAAGGTTTTGCGTTGTTTCTACGACGTGAATACAAAATTAGATAAGTCCAAAATATCCAGAATTTTGTTTCAATTGAAAATAACATTAAAACAAGGTTTTCTCATTTGTACTTATTTCTTTTACATTTCTTTAATTTTAATTATCTTCGATAAAAAAAAAAAAATATCGAACAAATTGTAATACTTGTAATTGTGATAATAAGAAAACTCGAAATTTATGATTTTTTTTTCTATTAAAAATAAATTAAAATAAAAAAAATATCTTATAAGATAAATAATAACATACATTTCACATCGCTCGTAGTTCTTTTGTTTAATTTTTTTCTATTCTCGTTCGAGACAATAGAGAAATAAATAATTAGTATTATCTTCGAATATACAGGAATCAATATAATGAATAAAATATTTAACGAAACATTATCTTTCTTAATTAATTATTAATTTGCATTTACCATTTCCTATTTTGTTAAAAAGGAATAATTGACTTTGTGCATAGCAATTATCTATGAGCGTGTATAAAATTGTAAACTATTGCAGTCCATGAGTGCACCCTTCAACGATGTATATGAATATTTGGCCTTAAGCATACTTTGGGTATTTTTAAAATAACGTCCATTAGAATAATAAACATTCGTTTAGTGTGGTTATTCATTAAAACAAATCATGATTATCTTATCTTGAAATTAGTCAATGAATATTCAACAACTTAAGTAAAAAATTAAATACCGTGTTGTATCGTTGACGAATGATAGTAAAAAAAAAGCTATTTATTTATTTTTTTTTTAAATGTTAACGCGTCTATTATTATAATTATCAATAAAAATTTTATCTTTGAATAAAAGGTCGCAATAATGAATATGTAAAAATTGTGTGGGGAAAAAAAATGTTAACGAAAAATAATAAATACTTGCTGAAATTGAAATAATTCATTATTTTGATCGTTTGTGATTGGGAAACGTGCAGTATAGTCTATACTATACTATAAAGAGAAAGAGAGAGAGAGAAAGAAAGAGTGAGAGAGAAAGAGAGAGAGAGAGAGAGAGAGGATCGTCTATGACGATCAACCGCAAGAATTCCGGAACATTCTTCATGTACGCGTCTATACATTAAGTTGATTGGAAAAGAGGTCATACTCCACCATTTCATAGTTGCTCACACGTACCATTCCTTTTTGTAAGAGTTTATGTATGTGTCCTATTGCTATCGAAAAGCTAGCAAACGAAATAGTATTTCTTTGATGGTATTACATTGAAAATAATTCTTACATTTTATTCTATTTATATTTTTCAAATGATTTTTCATATTATCATAAGATTCGAATTCATTTGGTATTCATTTTTTCGTAAATTTTATACGATAAATTGTAAGATCATTTGCATAGTGTATAACATATAAATTTATCATTTTGAACTGATTTTTATTTAAATTAAGTTGAGCCTCTCGAAAGGTATACATATTTTAATAATTCGTTTTCTTATTTGAAAAAGGGACAAAAAAAAAGAAGAGACATGATTTATCGTACGATTTGAGTCATCTAATATTAGTTTGTTCGAAAGTTCAACGATCTCTAAGGAATTTCAAGATGAAACTTCGATTAATTTTAATTAATAAAATAGATTTCTAAATAACGTTAGTTTAGGGAACCCAAGGTAAACAATCTATCTCTGGCAAGTAATCAAAGTTCGTTCAACTGTGATTCTTAAGAAAAAAAAAACATATACTTACCTCTTTTATTTTCTTTTTTAACACTAGATATATAACCATTTTTAGTATACCTATTTCTACCACACTAGTCAAAATGATTGGTGTATAAAAAAAATGCTTTTTGAGGCTTACAGTCTTTACTTATTTTTAAAAAATAACAAAAAATGTTGAACCTTTGCTTACCACACTTGGTCCAAAGGACCCAGACCTTTTTGGCAACTTGAGTGATTTTTCTCAATTGTTCAACTTTGGTAATTTTTTAAACATATTTAAATTTAATTTAAAGCTATAAAACCTATATAGTCCTTTTAAGTAAGTATTAAAGAAGTCTCAAAAAAATGTTGAAGTAAATCTATGCAATAGTTTCTTTTTTATAACAATTTTTCTCGTCTGGGTCCAAAGGACCCGGATGTGGTAAGCGTGTTACTCCAGAAAGGGTGGTAAGCAAAGGTTAACAATAATACTCTGCCAAATTATCAAAGTTCTATTGTGATTCTTAAGAAAAAAAAACGTATATTTCTCTTTTATTTTTTTTTTAACACTAAATATACCGCCATTTTCAGTATACATACTTATTTCTACCACACTAGTCAAAATGACTGGTGTAAAAATAAATGCTTTTTGAGGCTTACAGTCTTTATTTATTTTTAAAAAATAATAAAAAATGTTGAACAATAATAATTTTAATAGATAAATGTAGATTTATAGATATTTTAAAATAACAAAATTCTTAATTATTTACAGAACTTAAATGTTACATGAAGTAGAAGTTTTGAATTAAAATGGAATGGATCAGAATGACTGGTCTGGTATATCTAGTATGTTAAATCTTTAACAAATCTATATATATATTAGGGTGGGTAAAAAAAAAAATGACTTTTTTTTTCAAGTGCCACGGAAAAATGGGTTACTAGACACTTTAAAAAATTTTTTACCAAATATGAGCTCTTAATTTTAATAGGAAGATCCTCCGTACCGCAGTTTTTTATTTTTTTCTCAGTCCAATGGAATAAAATTCATACCTCATCATTAATTGATTGTACAGAAAAATGTTCTAGAAGAATTTTGTAGGAAATATAATGCTCTACAAAAAAGGTATCTTATATTTTTTTCCGTAAACCTCACCATTTGAATGATATTGAAGATTTAAGTTTGATTATTTTAAGACAAATTTCATTTTTGTTTATGAATTTTATAACTCGACAATAAATGACTATTATAAAATGCGCAATACAAATTTTTGTAGGAAATTGAGTGCTCTATAAAAATGATGTCTTATGTTTTGGCGATTAAATTAAACGTTCAAAAGATATTCATCATCAAACTTTCATGTGTACTGATTTTTGTCCCTGAATATATATATATTTATATTATAATAATGTACGAACTACTTATGCACTTAACTTCGATGAAAATGTTTTCGACGAATACATTACTTGGTTGAAGTTCAACGCGTTCTCGAGAAAAATGATTTTGAAATCGCGAATATGTAGAAGTAATATATTGTTTAGAAAAAATTATAAGTGTTTATTTTTATTTTTTTATTTTTTTTATTTTAATTCTTGCAACGGATCGTAAGTGTGTTTGAAATTTGAAAAACGAAAGGGAAAATAATTTGTTAGAGAGTGAGCGAGACGAAACAACAACGTAATTCAAAGGAAAGTGACTTTTCATCGTTTTATATTACGTTTCGCGAGAATTAGATAGAAAATAAAACGAAACAAATTTTTCCTTTCTCTTTCTTTACTGTTTCCCATCTCCCTCCCGTAATCTTGATAATTATGATCATTATTTGGAAGTCGTCGTCGGGTTCTTGAAGTTCTTGCAAGATTTTAGGTTAATAACACACATTACTATGAAATAAGACATTCATTTTACGGGACGTGAATAAATTTGACGAAGTTAGTCGTTATAAAACCTATGATTACGTGCATAGTATTATTATAATATTATCAAAAAAAAAATATAAAATAAAAAATAAAAAAAAAATAAATAAATCGTAGGAAAAAAAAAGAATTTAAAAATCAATTAGGAAAATACAATAGAACAACCCTCTCTCTCCTCACCTAACTGTATAAAGCGAAAAACATGTTACAATTATTTTTTATTTAAAGTATTTTTAATGATTTATTATTATTTATTTATTAATTTATTTTATATTTTATTTTATTATTATATATTTTATTATATATATTATTAATTTATAATTGTAATAATATAATAATATATAAATATAAAAATATTATATATAAAATATATGGCTAGTTCTCCAAAAAAATCGAAATTGATGTCCTTGATCATTTTTATAAACCAGGATCGTCAATTATGAAAAGTTTTTATTTTTTAATAATACGACTGTACTAGATCTACGAATGTATGAAACAAATTTATTTTTTATATGATAAATAACAAAGATATGTCCAAGAAAGTACCCTGAAAATCATTCCCTCACTATGTCCCAAG